TTTTTTTTTTTTTTTTTTAGGACGGAGTCTACAAAGTCTATAGGGTCACACTATGTAGATTGGACTAGTAGTGATTCTCCTATTTTCAGCCTCCCTATTTCAGCCTCCCAAGCACTGGGATTACACACACCAACACACCCAGTCTCAATCACTGTCTCTGCATGCCCTGCGGTCAGGACCGGCATGGCAGGCTAGGGGCCCTGCGTCTGCCTAAGCAGGCGCTTTAATCCGCTGAGCTATCTGGCTGGCCCTCTAGCTACTATTAAATGTCTTAAAAAGAACAAAATTTTAAAACGTATCATATAGAAAGTCATGTGCAAAGGCATGTGCATAGGACATTCTCATAATAATGTTGAAACCTGAGCCCAAGAGCCCCATGGCTACATGAAGAAAAAAATAAATGGAGGAAGGAAATTATTATATGCCATGCAATTTATGAAATAGTATAAAAAGTAACTGAGAAACTATTTTGGCCATTATATCAAACTAAGTCTTAGAATTGTTCTGTAAAATAAAATATCATTAGCTGGCCTGGGGCTGTAGCTCAGTGGCAGAACATTTGCTTAGCAGGTGTAAACCTCTGGATTTAATCCCCAGGACGACAAAAAACCAAATATAAAAAAAACTGACCCCAATGATTACAACTGGACATTTTAGAACTGATTTTAACATACATATTCATAAATACAAGAAAAACTTCATATACAAAAAACACTTCATATGATTCCGTTAACGGATATATAGTATGTACAAATTCACCCAATTATTCATTCAATTATAAAATAGAGCTTAATTCAAATGCAGTGATTTGCTTTTGGAGCCTAATTAAAAGATATTTTGCAAGTTAAGCTGAGCTGTGCTTAAATATTAATGAGTCATATATATTTATGATGAGAGGAAAAGACTTAAGTCACTTACATTACAGTTTCTTCTAATTTTATACTTTATCAAAATGTAAATGTATCACTGACCATCATATATAGCATCAAAAGTCAAACAACATAATCAATGACTAAGCCATGAATTTAATGTACTGCCTTTCTGTAATAAAGTTGTCCATAACTAAAGCAAGCTATAGAATGTTATGAACTGATTTCACTGTCAATTAAAAGTAAAACTTAAAGGAGTTACACAATTTTCACCTTCATTCATGTTTATCAACAATGAAAAATATGCCTTCTTGCTAAATCTTACCTCATTGTATCTGTTGCTGGGAATTTTGATGCTTGTTTTCCGAACTTCCATGTCAACCACCAAACCTTGAACTACTGGCAAGGTATACTGGTAATTTCTGAAGTCCTGCACAAAAGCAAATTGAAATCATAATAAAAAGTCATAACTGATACAATTTTTTTTTAATTTTATTTATTTACTTGTGTGTGTGTGGGGGGGGGCCAGCTCAGCCCACCAGGGGGCAGGACTGGCTGGCATGTGGTACTGGGGGATTGAACCATGGTCCCTGTGATTTGCTAAACTTGCTCTAAGTAGGTGCTCCAGACCACTGAGCCATCTCACCAGCCCCTACAATTTTATTTATAATATTAAAACTAGCACAAATAGAATGGCAATATTAAAAAATTCCATTTATTCTAATAATTAAGAAATATATAATAAAAGCCCTACTATGTATGTTCTAACTCTCTAGACTAAAAAGTCTTACAAGGATATAAGCCAAAGAGCTATCCTTTATACCCAACATTAAACAGGTACTTGAAAGTTTATTTTGCTTTTCCACAATTAACACTGCTTAGACCAGGCTATATAATAAGTTCAAGGTCAGCCTGAAAAAACATAACAAAAAAAAAAAAAAAAACCACCTATTTCAGTACCTGAAAGAGTTTACTTGATTTGGAGTACTGTAAAATGTAGTAATCCCATGGGGCTGGTGAGATGGCTCAGTGGTCTAAAGCATCTACTTAGTACAAGCTAAGCTAAGCAAAAACACAGGGACCGTGGTTCAATCCCCCAGCACCACATGCCAGCCAGCCCTGCCCCCCTGGTGGGCTGAGCTGGCCACACCCACACACCCACACACGCAATAAATAAATAAATAAATATTAAAATGTAGTAATCCCAGTGGCCAATAGTGTGTTAGCCCAAGGTCACCAGGTTGTTTGGGATAAGAAATGTGTGTGTAGACAGTAAGAGTTTAATATGGAGTTCTGGGAGGTAAGGCAACAATAGGAGCTTCATAAACTCCAAATATCCAAGACTGACCTCAGTCTGTGCACACCTGTAGCACAGATTTTGTCCAAACGAATCAGACCCTATAGATTTACTAAGGAGACACAAGAGAGCTAAAGACAATAATGAAATTTATATCCTAGCCTACATACAGATCTATTAGCTCAGAGTAAGAGCCTTACTAACATAAGGAACTTGAGTACAACCTCTGACCAATCTTTGGCTGAATAAGTTATTTAGGTACAGAGCATACCAATCTTAAAAGAAAAACAAGGCAAAAAAGTTAGGTGTTGCATTTATATGTTACTTCTAATCTTCATAATAATCTTGCAAGGTCACTTACATAATAAGTGTATATAACCAAAACTGGAATCCTGTATTTTATCCTAAAGTTTCATACATTTTTCATATAATACATATATTCTATTCTTTCTTCCAGGATAAATCTTTTTTTTTTCCAGGATAAATCTTTACCTGCCTGAAGTAGCAGGAATAGGGCAATCAAGGAAATAATTAAGGGGCCAGGGAGATGGCTCAGTGGAATAAGCGCTTCCCTGGCAAGCGCAAAGGCCTGAGTTCAATCCCCAGTTCTGCCAAAAAATAAAAAATTAAAAAAAAATTAAGCCCTTTCTTCTTTCTCCCATACAAACTCCAGTAAAATGATAATAACAACAATAATAATAATAATTTCCAACTTACTGCAAGAAGATTCATGATGGTATGCCCCGTCTCTCCAAACAATGGCTTCCGAAATCGCACACTGAACAGCGGGCAAGGATAAACTAGAGAGATGGAAATGATCAACCTAAGTTTATCAGCTTAAAATTCTGGGAAAAAGATATTATGGCTAATACAATTTCCAAAATGTAATTGCAATGGCTCATTAGGACATACCACATGTGGAACATAGTAAGTTTTTAGCATGGTAGAGAGAATTTCTAAGACAATAGAAGTCTTCTGATGACCAGAATAAACTTTTTGATACAGCTTTTTCAAAAATAACCCACAATCTAGGAATGGTGATACATACCTATAATTTCAGCACTTGGGAGGCTAAGGCAGGAGAATTGCTATAAATTCAAAGTTAGCCTAAACTACACAACAAGACCCTATCCCCCCAAAAAAGAAATAATGTGGACCACTAACTTACAAATTCAATCAATTCATTCCTGAGGGCCAGATGTAACTCAAGCTCTCAATTGAAGGCTTGAGTTCCTCTTTATAGCCTTCAAAGACTCCACCCTGTATACAGGCAGATCTCAATGTCCTTAGAGAGACACTGGTCCAAGATTTCTCAATTAGCCCCATATGGGAAAGGATGTTGTAATGTTTCTTCCAGAACTCTGTTAGGGTTAAATTTGTATCTGAGACCATCTGGAAGCACAAGCAACTAGCATTTGGGTCATGACTGAAGACTTCGGTCATAAGTTAAAACTAAAATTCCAGTCACAACACAAGTTGTTAGTATATCAGGCTAGTCATAACTTGAGGGTCCACTTAATAAATAAGTAGCTCACTGAGAGGATGTAGCTCAATGGCAGTGGGTTCCTGGGTTTAATCCCCTGTACCACAGAAAAGAAAATAAGATCTACAAGGTCTCATACAGTAATCTTCAAACTGGACTGATACAATCTAGGAACCAAATATACTATGTGATATAAATATACAGTGATTATTTAAATTTTTTTAATAACTGCAATAAAAGAGTTTGCTATTAGTGCCCCTCAAATTACTCTCCCTTACTTCAGACACACTTATTTCATTGTTCCAGACACTTAGTACAGAAGTTCTGGAAATAATACTCTTTTGAGTATCTTTACAAGGTGGAATTTAAAAAAACAAAGTGAACCCTGTTGCTGAGTGCCATCTACTGGAATGCTGGCTTGCAAAAATACTGTGGCTTCATCTACCTTATTTAGTGGATCTGGTACTATGTGACTTCTGGCTCCTCCTTAAAGTCAAAATAACCTGAAAGGTAATTTTTTTAATTGATTCAGATCATCAAGGTACTTGGGATAGAGCAACTAAAGACATGAACAAGGATTTCCAAAATTGCTTCAGAAAGTGGCAAAAATGACAGCATAAATGTGTTTGAAACAAGGGGTAGTGTTCTGAGGAATAGTGTATACTTTTTACTATAGTAAATATTTTTAAAATTTAGACATTCACCATGTATTTGATCAGACAGTGTATCTCTCAATTTTTCTATGCTCCAACAGTTTAAGAGAACTTCTAATGAGAACTCTCCTTAAAGACCCAAATACCAGGTGACAATATTAGCTGGCTCATTCCTCAAACTTTATGGTTTGAAATCCCAGCATAAGACACCAAAATGCATATGTTGCTTCTTCTGCATCAACCTGTCCCTTTCTCTGCTTCTCTTAGCTGATCTGGTTGTCTCCTTCAGAGTTTCATCCAGAGGCACCTTCATCCAAGAAATATTTCCTACCTAAGGTTCTCAAAAAACTTAACATTAAGCATGAGTTTTAATACAATACAATTTCTAGATACAAAGATTCCCAAGAGAATACAACCATGTCAGCCATTTCTAAACTTCCAGGATTCATGACACACAATAACCTTTGCTCAAATTCTTACTGAATGAAGAAATGAAAGAAGAAAACTGACTTGCAGAGAACACATGCTGTACTACTGTTTATAAAGTTTCACAACTTCATTTGTTCTTTTTAATATATAATCTAAAATATAAGGCAATGCCATGCCTGACTAGCAAGCACAATGTCCAGAGTTCGATTTTCAGTACCAAAAGCAAAAACAAAGACTAGGCAAGCATTAAAACCTCATTTAGTCTCATTAAATCTCATTTAAAAGAAACTCATTTCAAAGAAATTGAGTTAAGAAACTGACAATCAGCTATTGTACTTGCCCCAACTTACAGAGGTAGTAAGTGGCAGAGCTGAGAACCTTACTCAAATGATTCCCGGATCATAGAATTTCTAATCAGGTGAACACATAAAGTTAAAAATAAAATTTTCACTTAATTTTTTTTAAATTACCACCATAACTTGTAATTTTCTTGCTACAATCATGGGCTAAGAAGCCTCCTTCAGTGGTATACCTTACTGAGAACGGTCTCCCTATCACTGGTTTGAATGAACTGTTCAGTAAAATATTCCTCATAGCTATTTTCAACCAAGTGATAATAAATATGCTCACGACATACTATAAATACAATATAAAGTTACTTGTTAAGTTTAAATTAATTTTTCTCAAAAAAATTTTTGACATTTTTTTCATCAATGAACTATAAAATATCAATTTCATTTGATATTTTCAGACCTTTCCCTTTTAAGTGGCTGCTGGTCAGATTAAGCCTAGCTATTTCATTCTGCTGAATATATTACCAGACAGAGGATCCAAGCTTTATTTAGTTACAATACCTTGATCATAGAATAAGGTGAGGGTTTTTTTTTCCTATTTTTTGGACCAGAAATCAAACTCAGGACCTTGCACTTACCAGGCAGGTGCTGTACAAATAAAGTGTTTTTTTACTACTTACGTCGATATTCAGCTCCAAGTCTCAACATTAGTCGAATGGGAAACACTTTAGCCCAAGGAGTTTCCCATTTCTGGATGAGAACCCCAAACAAATAAGGTGGGGTTGGGAGTACCAGGTCTTGCAGTGACTGGTAGGTAGATGTTACATACAAGAATCCACCATGTTCTTTACTGCCAAGGAAACTCTGACTGAAGAAGGAATGTCCCAAGCTGCCCACAACATTCCCTAAAATGAAAAGGTTCACTATTTTTTATCAACAAGTCAATCATATTTTCAATACTCATTATTAACCAAAACTAGACTGGACATTACCACATACCAATTCCCAATCTTGCACTATGAAAAGTCTATGTTTATGAAGTTCTTTTTTCAATGAAGGGCATTTATTAAATGAAAGTATGCCTTCCCATTTTATCAGGACTTCTGGTAAGCACAAAATAATTTGTATTATCACAATGTAGAGACTGACACAGTTAACATCCCAAAATATCGATGTCTTCCTTAAACTGTACTGCTTTACAATATGAACTACATTAGTGGTGTCAGGCTAAGAATTACTGGCTCAAAGGTCTCAAATAGGGGCTGGAAATATAAGTTAGAGGCACAAGTACCTGCCTGGCAAGTGCAAGTTCAATTCCTGGTACTGCAAAAAAAAAATTTTTTTTAAAGGTCTAAAATAAATGTCCAAACTAGGTGCCTGCTTTCACAAACCTTATATTGGCTGGGTAAACAGTTATCTAATGAGCATAAAAATTTAAGGCAATAAGTAGAGCTACGAGACAGTAAGGAAATAAGAGGATTTTTGGAAAACTTAGTACCATGGATAGAATGTGTAATTTTGGTTGAGGCAAATATGAAATATAGACCTACAATTTAGGGCTGTTAGAGGGCCAGTGAGGTAGCTCAGTGGTCTAAAGCACCTGCTTAGGCAAGCTTAGGCAGGCATAGAGGTCTGTGGTTCCATCCCCAGCACCACAAGCCATGCCAGACCTGCCCTCAGGGTGGGGTGAGCAGTCCCCCCAACCAAAAAAAAAATCCATATTAGAGCTGGTGGGGTTGCACATGCTTGCAATTCCAGTTACTCAGAGGACTGAGTGGGGAGGAATGGAAGTTTGAAGCTATCCTGGGGAACATAGCAAAACCCTGTCTCACAAATAAAGCAACAAAACAATAAATCCATATTAGGCAATTTTTTTCTCTGAATTAAAAATGTTATTTATTAGGCAGATTCTAATTTAAATAATTTTGAGAATAAAATGGCAACAAATGTATCAAGCCTTCATTAAGGAGACAGTTTATAATTACAAGAGTTTCCTGACAAGAGCTGCTCAGCAGAACAAATATGTTCATTATACATGTTCCCTTTTCTTCTTGTCATTGTGGTAGTGGGAACTGAACCCAGCGCCTTTGCACTGAGCTACATTCCCACTCCTCTAAAAACAGTTTTTTAAAGGTTTTGTGTGTGTGTGTGTGTGTGTGTGTGTGTGTGTGCATGTGTGTGTACGCGGCGCAGGGTCTCACTATGTATAGCTTGGACTCGTAGTGATCCACCTGATTTCTACCTCCCTAGTGCCAGGATTACAGGTGTACGCCACCACTCCCTGACTCCATTGCTGGCTCAGTGCTCCCGGGAAGGTGGGGCTGGTGCAGCATGAAGTGTCAGGGATCAAACCCTGACCCCTGTGCTTACCTAAGCAAGTGCTTAGTCTCCTGTAAAAATTTTTTGAGGTAGACCCTAATGTATAGCTAAGTTGCCCAGGCTGGCTCAGACTTGCAGTCCTCCTGGCTCAGCCATCTAAAAATGCCAGGATAAAAACAAAAAACAAAAACAAAACAAAACAAAACAAAACAAAAAACCAGGCCAGCGACATTGCTCAGTGGACTAAGCACCTGTTTAGGCAAGTGCAGGGACTGGGGTTCGATCCCTGGCACCACATGCTGCACCGCCCTGCCTCTGGGTGCACTGAGCCCGTGAATGAGTATGGGTATGGTGATGCATGCCTGTAAACCCGGGACTGGGGAGGCTGAAAAGCAGAGGTTCACTATGAGTCTGAGTTTTGTAGTGGGACACTGTACCGAATACATTAAAAAAAAAAAAAGCACCAGGATTACATGTGTGTACCACCACACCACCAACCTTGGCTAAAAGCTTCCTCTGATAGCCCTAAAAGCACTAATAACAAATAAGAAAACTGCATCCACAAAGTCAATGTTCACTTTTCCTGAAAACTAGAGTGGTGGTTATGGGTCTTAAAATCTTTTTAATGAAATGGGAATGTATGTGAACAGTAAGATC